CTCACGTGTAAAAAGGGTTACGGTAGCGAGGATGCATTAAACATAAAACCCAGGAATACGGTCTTAAAGCAGAGGCTTCGAGCTTCAATTTCGAGAAAAATCCATCATCCTACGATGATTTCTCGTGTAGCTGTCGTCAGTCGAAGTTGGCCAATTTTCCTCGAAAATTGTCCCGCGCTGTAATTTCTCCGAGCGGCGTATTTTTAATGTTTAATGCAAGAGATTTTCAGTGTCGATGCGCGCACACGTGTTTAATAATGATTTCTCTTTCAAACTTTACTGCGCACGTGTCTTGGATCATGCTCGAGATTTATGTTTGACATTTAAAATAGCTCTCCGGAGAAAGGTTTCAGCGAACCATCACTGTAAACAGCAATATTTATGGTCATCTCGAGTATATTACGGAGTTTCGCTGCGCGAAGGACAAAATGGTGTAGGTTGGTGAAACGGATCGACCTGTTGCCTGTTCCTGCGAAACCGTGAAATGAAAGAGCCAAGATATCCGCGAAAAAAAACTGGGTCACGCGTGGGCATGTTACCGTGCAAAAAGAAGCGGAAGGATGCGGAACGATCCACAAAAATGTATATCCGCGTTGTCCGCGGGTCCTTGAAAAAGGATATAGCGCTTGCCTGGCTGCGAATTCTACCGAATCTTGGCAGAGATTGCGTATCCGCGAGGTACTGCGTTAATTTGCGAACGTCATGCCTTAATTAAAATATGTCGGGTTCGGAATTTATGCTCATTATTTTCACCGGAACCACGTGCCGGCACATATGCGAAATGTTTCAATAAAGATTCTCCCGCGAATTTCTCGTATATCGTTTGCTGAAAGACTGACAATATACGTCAATTTATGCATCCGAGAATTCTCCATTACATACCCGTGCACGTTTCGATCAGTTCAAAGCGATTAGTATACAGGGTAGCCTGCCACCAAAATTATTCGAGATTAAATAACGTTCGATTAATTGGTCGAACACCTGAATTGCTTCTATGGAAAAATATCTGAAACGAAAGTTGTAGGGTCTGGAACGGGGCGTACACTGATATAGTTCATTTTATACTGTATTGCTTTTTTAGCAAGGTTTCAAGGTCACCTTCAATATTTTATCACGATACGTAATATTTGACTTTACCGCTGGAAAGAGTATGTGAAACTAAGTGAAAAACTATCAGGCAATATAAGTCGAAAATGCAATATTTACCGAGATATTGATGAATTTATGTTCGATATACAGGGTGTCACAAAATTATTGTACAAGCGAGAAATGAGGGATTCCTGAGGTCATTTGAAGTATCTTTTTCCTTTACAAAAATTTTCTCCGAGGCATCGTTGACTAGTTATTAAACGGAGAACACTGACCAATGAGAAGCAAGCTCGGCCGCCTCGCGGCAAGCCGATCTCGCCTACAATTGGTCGCTGTTTTTCGGTAATAACTCGTTAACGAAGTCGCGGATTGCATTTTCGCTAAGGAAAAAATTACTTCGAATGACCTCACGAACCCCTCATTTCCCGGAAATACCATAATTTTTGGGCACCCTGTAGAAGACGCTCGAAATGTTAGCCATTTGGATCAACACACGTGCGTAGCCTGTTGACTGAGTCAACTGCAAGAAATAGAAATTGAGTAAGAATTAATTATTTATTATTATTAATAATTAAATAATTTCAATGTGTTAAGAATGGTGCAACTGTGTTCTCAATTTCTTCCAACATTCTGACACTTTGATACTTCATCTATTCACATTGAAATTATTAAATTATTAATAATAATAAATAATTAATTCTTACTCAATTTCTATTTCTTGCAGTTGACTCAGCTAATTTTTATTTTGCATAAAGATTCGCGGTCTGCTAATGACACGCGATCAAGATGGGTGACATTCCGAGCACCTTTTACATTGAACATAAGTTAATCAATATCTCGGTAAATTTTTTTCGACCCATATTGTCTTACAGTTCTCTGCTTAATTTTACACACTCTTTCCAGTGGTAGTGCAAAATTGTATACATTATTATTAAAAACTTCAAAGTAACCTTCAAATCTTGGTAAAAAAATCAGTATAGAAAAAATTAATTATATTCAGCGAATCGCTAATTCTATTCCCTACAACTTTTGTTTGAAACATTTTCCTATAGAAAAAACGGTTTTCGAGTTACTTAGATGGCAGATCTTGGTGAATCACCCTGTATAACATTGTTGCTCGACTCGGTAATGATTCGATTCCTTCTTCAGATTTTTTCAAATTGTTTCATGAAAACGAGAATGTATATATAATCTACATACTAGTTATAAAATACATGCTATAATCAATGAAACATAATCACTTATGTATTCATGCACCAAAAAATGGTAAATCTTTTGTAATCGAATGGCCACTTTAAAACACTGTAGAATAAACACTCAAAAAATACTTAACGAATTACCTTTAAAATTTATGCGAGCAATCAGTATACATATGCCTAGAGAACGTAGTAGAATCGCCCTAAAATTCAAATTTTTTTCCTTTTGTTTAGACTTCCAATATTGAAAAGCCAATAATAAGAAAAAATCGATAATCAAATCTGAAAACATCGTCGTTGCTTTAATTTTAAACTTTTCACTTTCGTTCTAGTACCTGCAACAGTCAAACTCATATTAATAAAAAATCTCACACGTTTTTTCATTTTGTATAAACGAAACGGCTGCAGTCATGGGTGCAGGACGATGTTTTTTCGAACTGGACCATGCTTCAAAACAGATAATGGCACGAATTTTAACTTTTTAACTTTTTAATCGAAAAAATTTGTAAATGGACTTCAAACATGTATAAAGAAAAAAAGTAAATCTAAATAGTATATAATATATTTAATGATATATATTTAAAGTAAAAATTTGTCTAAAAACGGTGTTATATAGCTCTTCGGAACAAAATCTCAAGTACAAGTTAAAAAATACCGTTCATGCTAGATTAATAATTCCTTGAACAATGTTGCTAGATTCTTAATTCTCTAATGTTCGCGCAAAAATGAACATCCACATCAGGCGCTGCTAATAAAAATGGTAAAAATTTCGTATTGTAATAATAGCCATTTTAAAATACCGTAGCTAGATATTTAATTTTCCAACGTCTATACAGAAAAAAATACTGCTAGATTAAAAACTCTGATAATAATAATGGTAAAAATTTCGTGGACAGTTTACCATTTTGATAGACTACCCCTAATAGTTTCATTTTTCAATGTCCAAATAGTGATTTTAAAACACTGTAGCTACATTATTCTTGAACGTCCACAAAAAATTACAAATATCTATACTTTAACCTATAGACGAAAATGGTAAAACTTTCGTAGTCGAGTAATCATTTTAAAACACTGTAGCTCGATATTTAATCATCCAACGTTTATACAGAAATAAACATCTAGATTAAACTCTGCTAATAATAATGGTAAAAACTTCCAAGTCGTGTAGCCATTTCGAAACACTGTGGCTAGATACTTAATTCTCCAACGTCTATACAGAAACAAACTGCTAGATTACAAATTTTGGCAATAATAATGGTACAAATTTCGTGGACAATTTACCATTTTGAAAGACTATTTCTAATGGCTTCATTTTCCAATGTCCAAATAGCCATTTAAAAACACTGTAGCTCGATATTTAATCATCCAACGTTTATACAGAAATAAACATCTAGATTAAACTCGGCTAATAATAATGGTAAAAATTTTGTAAGTCGAATAGCCATTTTGAAACACTATATTTACTTTATCCTACGCATCCTCAAAAAATTACAAATACCTAATTTGACCCTGCTGACAGATATGATCAAACTTTCGTAGCATCAAATTTTTTCTACACAAAAATGGACAATTTGAGAAAAGGAGACACGATTATTCGAGCCTCGCGGCTCGTTTTTATAGCCGCCGATTGTCAGCAACTATAAAAACGATCAGTAAGGCTCGATTAATCGCACCTCCTCTTTCTCAATTGTCCATTTTCGTTTCCAAGCCGAGCGTCATTCAGAGAGAATTTACCGTAGTCATTTTAAAGCACTGTACCTAGATGACTTAACACTAGATTTACGAAGCACTGAAAGCAGCTGTTTCATATTCAGTTTACAAAGGTAACAATGAGTCGTTTCTTCTGATTTTCAACGAAAAGTATCGTAACATTTGCCGCATACATCGAACATATATGCACATATACATACAAACATATACATCGAACACATATATCGAGTAAATAACTCATAAATGTACCTCGACAGTTTATAAGATCGTAAATTAAAGAACCAGCGAGACCCATCATTTCAACGGTCCCCGTAAAACTAGCGTCAATACCCCGTACAATACCCACCCTACAAAAATACACATCTAGATCCATCCACTGGCAATCAAAATGGTAAAAATTTCCTAGCCGAACAGCCATTACGAATCACTGCCGCCAGCGGCTTCCTCCCCCAAGATCCGAACATTTATTCTATATAAAACACTGTAGCTGCTTTCGTCCTCGGCACCCACAAGAAGTTACAAATACCTAGATCCGACCCTAGCGAGAAAAATGGTAAAAAGTCCATCGGGTCCATCGCGGCGAAACGGCCGTCTCGTAACACTGGAACGATCTTTCTCTGCGCAGCCCTCGAGGAACCAAAACTAGCCCTGCTCGATCGAAGCAACCCTGCCACAGCTTCGCGGCGGTGGCGAAGTTCACAGCCCGTGACCCCTCGAAAAATGTTCGACCGTTCGACTCTCGCAGCGTCTGAAAAGTGAGCTGACGCGCGACTCCGCCGAAAGAGAATTGAATGCCCATCTCGGTGCGGATCGCGCGTATGCGCAAAGGGATGATGGCGAGCGCGTCCGCGGAGAGCGACAGGGAGCACCGTGTCCCCCGAGGAGGGTGGCCGAGCGTTGCCGGTGGGACGGAGACAGCCAGAGAGGGAGGGGGTGCGTGGTACGCACCCACACAGGGGCCCCGGCCGCAACCACCGGCGGATCACACACGTATAAAGGGTGGCGTCGCGATGCCCTGATCGTCATTCCCGCGCGTAGACGCAAAGTCGTGGTGCCCGGCGTCGAGCAGTCAACCCTAACACTCCTTCAGCTGCGAGTCACGTGAGCGCCGCCGAGACCGAGTCTTTGCCGAGGACAACCGCCGGCATCCCGATTCACCGGGGGACGCACAGGACGCGACCCGTCGCTTTTCCAGCAACAGGTGAGCTGCCGAAAAACGCCGGCCACGATCGGCCCCGGCCGTCCCGCGAGCCGTTTTCCGCCGACAATTCCGTGCCGCGGATAAAAAGCCAGGTCTCAGCGACGCGGTTCCGACGCGATCGTCGACTCGTTTTCCGTAGGCTGCGTCGCGGTTTCGCAGGTGCCAGTGAACAGTGACAGTGCTTAGGTCGTCCGAGGTTCTCGGACGTTCGCGCGCATCCCGCGGAAATTCCGTGCAAGTCCGTGGAAATTCCGCGGGGTTCCAGTTCCCGTGGAATTCTCGCTTCTCCGCGACGCGTTTCCTGCGAAGCATCCGGCGAACCAGAAGCGTCCGATTCGCGCTGCCTGCGATCCCCGACGATTCTTAACGCTGGATCTATATCGAGAGTGCAAAAACGGCCGGTCCCCGAGCTTTTGTTTTACCATTTCTGATGTTACGAAAAACGTCGCCGCGAGAGAAACTTCCTTGATCGAGCGTACATTGTCGCAGGAATCGCACGGAATTCGAACGAAGAAGTCCTGTCGTAGAACAACGCGCGTTTCTCGCGTTTAGATCTCGTCGATCCAGGGAAGATCGCGTACAACGCAGGTGCGCGCTTCGAACATATGGGAATCGTAGGATTTCGTTTTCTTGCCACAGAGTCCGCGGATCTTCGACGTTCACGGCGAGATCGACGAACGAAAAGTCGCGGCTGGGAATCACGTTCGGTCGATTCGTTTTTCGTCCGATTCGCGTTCAGTCGAGACGAACGTTCCATCTGTTAGCGGATGCGGCGAGGATTAGGTCTTTGGACAGAGCGCGCTTTCGCGTTGCTTGCACGAAATTATGATTAAATCTAGGCTCGTGTAGAAACCCGGCGAAATTGTCGATCAGTTTCATCGGAGTCCGACGGTTTCGAAAATTTGCGAGAGAACCGCGGGCTCGACGCCGAAAATATTCGTTTGTTCGCGGAACGAAGATTCGAGATCGTTGTTGATGACACGGCCGAGTCCGATACGCCGCGATTCGATTCCTTTCGGCGGCGGCGTTGGATGATTTTAACGGAGCCGGGCGTCATTGTTCCGGGCGTTAAGTTTGCGGTTGAATGGCAATATCTTCGCGCGGGGCGGGACAATCGGGGAATCTCGTTTCTGAATAACCCTGGAAAACGGAACACGTGCACGGCTGACGGGCGGTGCGGACGCATTGTTTATTCAACGACGAGAGTTTCCCACGAATGCGCGAGATTCGACAGCGGCGAATAAATTGTTCGATTGTGTCGGAAACTTCGGAACTCGGGCGCGAACTTGGATAACATTCAGATATAGAAAATTCCGTTTGCCGGTGAAAATTCAGCTCGCGAACGCCTCTTCCCGACAGTCAATCGAGCCGAGTCGCGCCTCGAGCTTGCTCGACGATCCTCGGAATTAACGGCGCGGGCGATGATCGTCGGAAAAATTGTTCGCCGTTCCTGTTTTGATTCGTTCGTTTGAACGTTCCTTGCCGTCGCGTTCTTCGCAAATTCACGGCGCCGAATTAGGGAAATCGTTGCGCCGTAATCTGTCGTAATTCCGTCGTTTTTCCCGGTCGTTAGTGATTCGCTTCTTCACGCAACAGGTGATCGCGTTCAGACCACCTCCGGCAAGAAAGGAAAAACGCTGGCAGCCGGCCAATTAATTAGCTTCGGTGCCGCACGCTTTCGAATGCCTCCGGCTAATTCTACAAAGAACTTTCGCTCGAGCGATCCTTCGTTTTTCGACATTTTATTAATATTCGCAATTGCAGAGACGTAAGAAGATCGCGTGCACTCGGACGTGATGTTTAATCGTCGTCGTTAGGGGATCAACGTTTAGTTAATCCTCATGCGACACCTGCACCCGATACAACGTTGATACTTTATCGCTAGATTTACGGATCCCGTCAAAATGACGAGTCACTTATTTTTTCATTTATGGTTATCGTAATATTATATCGTAAAGATACGATTATGAGATATTTATTCAATTTGTTACTTATGGCAAATGTTACAATAACACTTGTTCAAAATCAGAAGAAATGTCTTATTGTTACTTTTATAAACTAATATAAAACAGCTGTATTTTGTGCTCCGTAAATCTAGTGTTATACAAACTTCGATACCGAAGATTAATAATTGTGCATTAATAGCGTTGCATGAATAATTGTGCTTTGCACAATAAATTGTTCAATAATAATAGTAATTTCAGTCGTAAATCAACGAGCTTGTCATTAGACCGAAAAATATAAATTCTCTGTCTTATTTATCCAAATCTAAGGTCGGGTAAAAATATGTTTATCTTCCAAAATGCATAAAATCTGCAGTCTTAATTGAACGGTTCGGGATCTCAGCCAGCGTAAGTCCAATTTTCTTTGAAAATTAGCTCGATAAATCAATGTAGTTCGATTTCCACGTAATTAAACAATAGATAGCAGCACTTATATTTACCACGGAATTGTTGAACGAAATAAAAATGATTAGAAACAAATGGACAACGTAAAGAAAATTCGATAATATAATTATTGCTATTACAATTAAATATTGACACTAATGATTTTCTTTTTGCTGAATTATAATGAAAACAGCAATTTTTATATTATCAGTGACACCGTTCCCTTTTACAGGCAATTTGCAAAATCCTTGTTTACCTCGATGTTAATGAATTTACGCCGATTGGCTTCCGAGCTGTCCAATTACCCTTCGATAATTTCTCCTCGAAGCACGAAGCATCCTGCTAGCATGCAGAAAACAATCGAGCACCTTCTCGGCGTGAAGCAAATTATTATCATCGACGCGACATAATTAAGAACCCTATTAGCAGCTTCCAAGTGTTCCACATTAATGATTGTAAAAGTAATTGGCTGGTTTGAAAAATTTCACCGAACGAGCCGGTAGAAAAGTCAGCTCGTCGAAGCAAATTTACAGCTAGCGAAAGCAACAACGAATACGACCAGCAATCGTCGTACAGTCTGATTATGATTCTACGTCTGCACGCTATACTTTAATCATGAAAGGCTCCGATTCCGTCGCTGTAATTTCAAATTCCCTAAGCCCGGGAATAAATATTGTCCGACTAGACGCCGCGTCGCGCCGCGCCGGTCCCTGCTCAAGGCATTAATCTGGCTAATTAATAGCGGGTGATTCGCTTCTTATCCAGCGAATTAATGAAGGGCTTTGAAACCGCGCCGCCATACTCGCGGATTGCGCAACGAAATCTTCCTCCGCGCCCGAAAGAGCCCGGATTTTCCCAACTGAATTATAAAATTGAATCACTAGCTCGATCCGGAACCCTCTAATCGATCATTACACCGATTGTGCCCTCGACCTTTGCTTTGATGCGTCCGTCCACGGCGTGGCATCGTATGATCGGGGCGCGTCTGCCTAGTTGTTTTCCAGCTGCGCTTTTTATTTCGCGATTCCGATCCGCCCGGAGCCGCGCAAATATTTTCCAGCCGTCGCACAGCGGCCTCGGAGCACCGAATATCTGGCGTAAATTACGGAGATTCGTTTTGTTCTGGCGGATTATTGTACGATTGAAGTAGGTTAATAGAGAACAATAATGAAAAGGGCAAGAGTAATCAAATTCGTCTTTATTTATTGCCGGCTGAGTTCAACAAATACCTCACAGTGCGTCGTCGGGTTATCCGTTGAAAAATTGTGTGCGAAAATAATACTGCTGGCGTATCCCTGTTTGCTCGCTGATCCACGCGGCTATGGGGATTCGATTACTGCGTGCAGGAACGTTGCGAATTTGTTCATTGATCGCTTCGGGAATCTCGTTGGAAGCCTCGGTAAATAGTAGTCTTCGTTATTTTCAGTCTTATTATTCTATTAGTCAATTTTATATCTAGTAACATTGTGATCCGTAATGTTGATTCATTCTCTAGAAATTGCAACGTCTGCACTGCAGCAGCGTGTAATCATGCCTTGAAACTCAATTAGAAATTTGTAACGGTTCATTGATCTTTCATTTGTTCCCAGACGTTAAATTGAAAATAATTCCTTAAATAAAAAAACTAATTTCCCGTGATAATAGGATTGGGCAAACAGTAATTTCACTGATGATTAACGATTTTAAAACATTAGTTATTATAAACTGATTTATATTGATTTATTATGAGCAATTGATAATGATTTATAATTCGTTAGTTATTGTAACTAATTGATAATAATTTATAGCTCGTTAGTTATCACAACTAATTTATAATAATTAGGCAAAAATAAATTCGGCTAAAAGTAACC